GGAAACATGCTAGCAACATGCTAGTAACTTTGCTAATCATGTTAATGACATGCTAGTCACTTGTTAGTCATGCTAGCAACATGCTAGTCACTTGCTAATCATGCTGGAAACATGCTAGCGACATGCTAGTCACTTGCTAATCATGCTGGAAACATGCTAGCAACATGCTAGTAACTTTGCTAATCATGTTAATGACATGCTAGTCACTTGTTAGTCATGCTAGCAACATGCTAGTCACTTGCTAATCATTTTAACAACATGCTAATCACTTTGTTAATCATACTAACGACATGCTAGTCACTTGTTAATCATGCTATCAACATGCTAGTCACTTGCTAATCATGCTAGCAACATGCTAGAAACATGCTAACGACATGATAGTAACTTTGCTAATCATGCTAACAACATGCTAATCACTTGCTAATCATGCTAACAACATGCTAGCGACATGCTAGTCACTTGTTAGTAATGCTAGCAACATGCTAGTTACTTGCTAATCTTGCTAGCAACATGCTAGCAACTTACTAATCATGTTTGCAAACATGCTAGAAACATGTAAACAACATGCTATTTACTTGGTAATCATGTTAACGACATGGTAGTCAAATGGTAGTCATGCTAGCAAAACATGCTAGTCACTTGCTAATCATGCTGGAAACATGCTAGCGACATTTAATGACATGCTAGTCACTTGTTAGTCATGCTAGCAACATGCTAGTCACTTACTAGTCATGTTAGCAAAACATGCTAGTCACTTGCTAGTCATGTTAGCAAAACATGCTAGTCACTTGCTAATCATGCTGGAAACATGCTAGCGACATGCTAGTCACTTGTTAATCATGCTATCAACATGCTAGTCACTTGCTAATCATGTTAGCAAACATGCTAGAAACATGCTAACGACATGCTAGTAACTTTGCTAATCATGCTAACGGCATGCTAGTCACTTGCTAGTCATTCTAGCAACATGCTAGTCACTTGCTAGTCATGTTAGCAAAACATGCTAGTCACTTGCTAATAATGCTAACCATCTGCTAGCAACATGCTAGTCACTTTGCTAATCATGCTAGCAACATGCTAGAAACATGTTAACGACATGCTAGTAACTTTGTTAATCATGCTAACGACATGCTAGTTACTTGCTAGCCATGCTAGCAACATGCTAGACACTTGCTAGTCATGCTAACAACATGCTAGTCAATTGCTAATCATGTTAACAACCTGCTAGCAAACATGCTAGTCACTTGCTAATAATGTTAACAACATGCTAGAAACATGTTAATGACATGCTAGTACGTGCTAGTCAATTGTTATTCATGCTAGCAAACATGCTAGTCACTTGCTAATCATGCTAGCAAACATGCTAGTAACTTGCTAATCATGCTAACAACATGTTAGAAACATGCTAGTAACATGCTAATTATGCTAGTTACTTGCTAATAATGCCAGCAACATGCTAACGACATGCTAATCATGCTAGTGACATGCTAGTAACTTTTGCTAATCATGCTAGCGACATACTAGTCACTTGATAATCATGCTAGCAACATGCTAGTTTACTATTTCTTATTGATTTATCTATCTATCTGTCTATTTATCTATCTATTTTTCTGATAAATTGTATTGCCTTCAAAACTTTAAAACTACTTCAAATTAGTTAAAACTGAAAACCCTCAAACTTTAAGCTTTTAAAACTACTTCAAACTTTCTGGCTATGCTTTTTCAAGCCAACTTAAAGTTTACCTACAAACTTTACTATCTAGTTAGAAGTTGATGTATGATTTTGTCAGAGTGGCTTTATTATTATTTCAGCTTTACACAGCAAAAAAAAAAAAAAAAATCCTGCACATATTAATTCAATTAATTAGACTAAAAAGTGTTAAATAAGAACTAAAAAGAAAGGAACTAAAAAATAAGAACTAAAATAAGAATTGAACATTTATACGCAGACTAAAGTGCATGTGTGCATACCTGAGTTTGAAACTGATATTTCAAGATTTAAAAAATAAAATAAAAATATAGAGATCATTTATTCAATTGATCACCATACAATAGGGCAGGGTAGACTGCAAGTGAGAGGAACTAAAAATTTGTTTGCATTTGCATGGAGCCTCAAAAGGGCAGTGCAGCCCAAAATGAAAATCATACTTTACTCACCCTCATGTTATTTCAAAACTGTCATTGTAAAAAAAACAAAAACAAAAAAAAACAAAACACAGATATGGCATTCAAATTATTATTTTTCTTTGGCTCAAATATCCCTTTAAGGTTGTCCATATTTAAGTATTGGAATAAATATATTTGAGAGGCAAATAAGATGTGCAAATAAAGTGTTCCAATCTTGTCCCTGAGGAACAAAACAAATTCATGGGACTCTCTATTTTATAATGTTTTTTTCCGCTTTCTTGTTCTCCATTCATCTACACTTGAAAAACACTCTCCTACTGGTTAAATTTCTTTCAAAACTGTAAACATCATATTTTCAATTCACCGTATTTAAGAATGATTTTTTTCTCTCTTGTGACAGGCTAAAAAGGTAGCATTCAGTCTGTTGTTGGACCAATATCTTTATTTATTGAAGATTAATTAAAATTACAATATTTATTCATTTCCAAACCTTCTCTTGTTTTATCCAGAACTCCTTGATGTTGATTCATGGCAGGGCACAGCAGCTCTCCTTCTTCAGACCAGGCCTTATATCTGGCTGTAATGTACAGACTAGTCCTAAAAAACTGAAAAGTCATAAAAGTAGTTCCAATATAAAGTGCCGTTAAAGTGACAAGACTCAAAAAGAGAAATATGTGACGGTAAGCTTCATTTAAATACCGTAAACAAGTGTAAGCTCAGCAGAAATCCCCTGAAGATGTGAATGGTGCTCCACATTTATTTGAGGAGAACACTGACTTTTCACCACACCTCTCAGATGATTTATATAATAAAATCAAACCAATAAAACAGGATGGCACTGAGCTGTCAAAACAGTTTGGCTCAAGTATTGCATAACCAAATATTTATCTTAAGACAAGACCCAAATGAGGTAAGCTGAATTAAACAAGGGAGGAAGAGCAAAGGAAGTTAATCCCTTCAAACAAATGTAAATTTCAGACATTTCTGTAATGCATTACAGACCTTAGTCTTACACAATCCAGGGTAGGTGTCATAAAGAGTAATTTTTTAATGTTCAGAATTTCTTTCTGAATGAATAGAGTTCCTTTTGTATTGTAAGGAAAAAAATCAACTAAAAATGAAAATTATTTAATTTACTCTCCTTCATCTCCTTTGAATCTCAGGCCTTATTACTTTCTTGCTTCCAAAATTTCCTTACAATTGAAGTCAATTAAAAAAAAAAAAATCTTAAATTTTAGACTTGGAATAGGCTATAGTGCATGAGGTTTATTGATTTATGAATTATGAAATGTATTATGCTTTTGTGTTAATTTTTTTTAAAGTTTAACAGCTCAGTGTAAACATTCTTCTAAATTTCCACTTTTTGAGTAAGAGATGAAAGAAGGCTTAAAGGCACAATATGTAATTTTCGCCCGCAAGAGGGCGCGTATTCAAAATAAACAAGAGGCAAAGGCGTAGCTTGGTGACTGAGTGTGGAATCATGGGAGTTGTGGTCTTCATCCCCACAGCCGATACAATCCGACGGGACTCAGGAAGAAATCATGTTCATGGATGAGCTAATGATTTATTAACGTAGTAGAATGAAGCAGGGTGAGGCTGAAAGCCGTCGAAGTGAAACGAGGCCACTGAACTAGCGTGACACACAGCTCGAAAGCAGCGGAGCTTTTATTATGCCACAGTCGACTGCTTCCGCTCCTTCCGGTCGTGCGTATGTGGGGTAAAGCAGCGCTGTTTTTTAATGTTCAGAATTTCTGTCTGAATGAATAGAGTTCCTTTTGTATTGTAAGGAAAAAAATCAACTAAAAATTAAAAATTCTTTCATTTACTCTCCTTCATCTCCTTTGAATCTCAGGCCTTATTACTTTCTTGCTTCCAAAATTTCCTTACAATTGAAGTCAATAAAAAAAAAAAAATCTTAAATTTTAGACTTGGAATAGGCTATAGTGCATGAGGTTTATTGATTTATGAATTATGAAATTTATTATGCTTTTGTGTTAATTTTTTTTAAGTTTAACAGCTCAGTGTAAACATTCTTCTAAATTTCCACTTTTTGAGTAAGAGATGAAAGAAGGCTTAAAGGCACAATATGTAATTTTCGCCCGCAAGAGGGTCTAGTGGTTTTTGGATATTTTAATTAAAAAAAATTACATATTGTGCCTTTAACGAGTTTGGATCGATATGAGGGAGAGTAAACGATACTACGATTATTCCTTTTAAGTTTTTAAGAAAAGTGTGACCGTTCTACTGTGGTTGTCTTTTTCTCAACATGTGTGCCTAAGCAGGCATGTTGATAGCTATTTGCTTTGTTTACCCATTTGCGTGAGCCCTACGATTTTCCACACTGAAGTAATATAGATGAAGTACAATCTTAAAATTTGACATGCAAATCAGACAAATTCAGATTGGACTGAAGGATTGCGTCTGAGATACAAATCCCTTCAAATATGTAAAAACAGTGACATATCTGTTAACATGTCTTCCGCTTTCTTCATTTTTCTACCTCTTCATTTATCATAACTATTTATTTGCATTTGTATGGTTTACTATTAAATGATCGTCACACTGGTCATATTGTTGCCTCCTTTGGGATTTTTTTTCTTTTTCTAATTTGTCACTTTGTTTATGATTGAATTGTAATGTAAAAGCAAATGATTAGTTTACAAGTTTAATTAACACACTTGCATTAAAATCAATTTGATTTTAACCGGAAAAAAAACAACACTAATACTGAAATGAAAAATATAATTAAAAGTGTCATTCTATTGCAAGTAAACTGAAACTATTGCAAAAGAAAACTAAAATGAGAGTATGAGCCAACCATAAAAAAACCACACGTTTTCAGTGTGTGCTGGGAAAACCAACTGTGTTAGATCTGCCCTCTTGACGTCAGAGGGGGAGTTCTGTGATCAGAACTTCCTCACACATTTGATTTGACTTATTTTGTCTCATCGCTACGGACGCTTGGGAGGAATGAGGTAAATATCAGTATCGTATATTGTTGACATCATTCAGCAGTCATTCATGGCGATGTTTAGCGCGCAGCCTCACCCAAAACAGTCTGTCCTATCAGCATGTACCAGACATAAAAAGGCACATGGGGCTTTAATTTCAGCTTTGTTTCATGTAGTCGCTGGCTTTTTCCCAGATGCACTATACTACAATGAAAGTGTAGCTTTGTAAAAAAAAAAAAAGGAAAAAAAAAATAAATAAATGAAACGAATTGAAACGTTCTAAAAGCTTCTTGAGTGTGTGTATTGTTGCCCCAAAACAAAGCACAGTGGAATGGGGCGCGTTCTAAAAGGTCCGTCCTAAAACCGGAACACCGAAATACTGTTAAAAACTGCAGGTGGAACGAAAACAGCGTCCCGTTGAAGGACACCGAGCGCGGTCAAGTTAACTTAGATTTATTTTCTGTTATGCTGTCGGGAGCATATCGTAACTGATTAAAACTAGTGGGTATGGTTTTCAATTTCATTACTTTTCCTTATTGTTTTTAAAGTGAAAAGTAGGATTTTTAAAATGGGGGATAAGTGAGTGAAGTCAAGTGGAAGAGAGGTACGTTATGTGACCCCCTTTTTGAGGCTTTAACCTCCCCACTTGTAAGGAAGTCAAAACAAATACTTGGGCTATTAAAGCTTCTGTTTACGTAGAAATAGATATTTCAACATTGTTTTCAAACGGGATTTCACTAACCAGGATAGTCGGATTACATTAGTTGTATTGAATAAGATGGATGATCGCTTTCCAAGATGTCAGACTCACATTGACAAGTCATTTTTATTATGGATTATTTAGAAATAGCCTAATAAATAAATGTAGGCCCCATTTTGTTTAAAATGCCTTGGAGATTGTTGACGGTTAAAGGATTAGTTCACTTACAGAATCAAAATGTCCTGATAATTTACTCACCCCCATGTCATCCCAAAATTTCTTGTCTTTCTGTCTTCAGTCGCAAAGAAATTACGGTTTTTGAGGAAAACATTCCAGGATTTTTCTCCATATAATGGACTTAAATGGTGGCCAACAGGTTGAAGGTCCAAATCGCCGTTTCAGAGCAGCTTCAAAGGGCTCTACACGATCCCAGCCGAGGAATAAGGGTCTTATCTAGTGAAATGTCACTTTCTTAAAACAAACAAACAAAAAATCTATATACTTTTTAACCACAAATGCATGTCTTGCACTAGCTCCTCGGTGTGCCTCCGCTAATTCACGCATTACGTAATAACATTGGAAAGGTCACATGCGGTTAGCTCTTCGTCTGTGTACTCCGGTTCAAATAGGTAGGGTAGGGTGAAAAACTAATTTTCTCCTCCAACTTCAAAATCACCCAACATCAATGTTTTAACGTTTTTGTAAAGGGCATTTGACTTTCTTTGCACGTTCGCTTTGTACACTGGGTCGGTACTTCCGCCTATGTCACGCATGACCTTTCCAACATGACTACGTAATGCAGGAAGTCGAGCTAGTGCAAGATGAGCATTTGTGGTTAAAAAGTATAGAAATTGTTATTTTTTTAGAAAATGACCGATCATTTCACTAGATAAGAACCTTATTCCTCAGTTGGGATCATGTAGAGCCCTTTGAAGCTGCAATGAAACTGCAATTTGGACCTTCAAACCAATGGTCCCCATTGAAGTCCACTATGGAGAAAAATCCTGGAATATTTTCCTCAAAAACCTTAATTTCTTTGCGACTGAAGAAAGAAAGACATGAACATCTTGGATGACATGGGAGTGAGTAAATTATCAGGACATTTTTATTCTGGATCATCATCATCGTCATTATGTTGATGAAGAATTTGGAAGAGGGCTATATTAATGACTTCTTTTCATATGCTGCACAAGTCTATTACTTGAAAATGTAATCTTTTGCAGGTTTAGCCTCAGTCTCGCATATCTCTTTTCGTACAACTTGCTTCAGTTCTATGGACACACATGGATTTTCACAAACATGACAGCCAGATTTCTCTCTTTTGGGGAAGGTAAGCAACATTTATGAACTCGCTTCTGAAATGTCTGCTTATGTAAATAATCTGGGATGTTAAACAAACCCACAGTTTATTTACATCTCTACCAATTGTACCCAAGATGTTATTTGAGAAATACTCAAGTGGCTGTTTAGAGTTGTGTAACAACCAAAGCAGAACACTCTTATGAAAGAGCTCATGACTTCCACACATATCAGAGCTTAAAATATTACTTTGCATTTTTAATGGATATAATCAAGTGAAACAAAGCTCTTCTGATAACTTGTGTTTTGTTCTTAGATGCCCAGGCTGGCACCTTCTACTTTGTGGGCGTTATGATGGGTGCTTGTCAGCTTCTGTCTTTGTTAGAACTGTTTCATATTGCAGATGGTTTTGAGGAGTGCAGACTTTTCCCTCGCTTCATGCAGGTAAAATATAAAGACCATATTTACAGTAATAAATGTACAAACCTTGAATTTGCACAACTGCACATAAGAAGTATAAAAAAGAGCTCATTAAAAATTTTTTTTCTCTCTCAATTTTTTTACTTTCAAAATCTAGTTTCTGTGTTGTGATATTATGAAATGTTTCCCCAGTTCTGGCTGTAAATCATAATTTAGTCAGAAGGAAGTGCATGTAGTGCATAAGGAAGTACATACAAATGTGTCCAATTTAGAGCTATAGGGTTATACCATTTTTAAGCTACCTGATTTCTATTCACCTTTATTATTCATTAATGCAGTTTTCCATTTACAGGTAATGGAGAGAAATGTCCTTCTGTTTCTCCTCATCAGTCTGGAAGAGTTTCAGAGTAAACCAGTCGTGTGTGTGCAGTTTTATCTGTGGAATATACTGGGCCTTCTAAGGTTTGAGTCTTTTGTGTTTGCATGCAGGCTTCTGTGAGTAATTCTGAAGGTCATCTTTATTATCTTTACTCTTTGTAATAACACTTGCTGGTAAATTCACTGTGGCATCAATATAGGACTTTCAGTAGTGCCTTGAAGACCTAATATACTGTAGGTTTTTCAACAGAGCATTCTGTCTGTAATATTTTGTTGTTGTTTTTTTTTTCCTCCCACAGGTATCCACATGAGTTATTTTGCCTTATAGGCACACCATATTTTAAAATGCTATGGGTGCATCAAACACTCTCGATCCCAGTGTACTTGCTGTCTGCTGTCACAGAAGGTAAAATGTGATTGATTAAAATAATATTATTTTGGATAATATTCTCACAATTTGGGAAAAACGTAAATGGCCATCACATAATCTTTCCTAATGCTGACCAGCTAACTTTGAAAATATAAATTAAGTGATCAAAGCAGAATGTTTTTTTTAATCAATTGTATGATTTATTATTATTATTATTATTTTTCAAAAGTCATTAGGGGACATGTTTTCACCTTTTTGGTAGACACTGTAGATAAAAAGGGTAAAAATAACAATACTCCTATAAAATATGAGATATTCTCATAAAACCTAAAAAATGTATGCTCTTGTTTTTACAATAATACATAAAAATGTAACATTTCTCAACCTTCTCAACATTGAAAAATGGTTAAGGTTTAATATCCATTTTGCCCTTCTTTAAACAAATAGTGTATAATTATGAAAGGAATTATGTAAACAAAATCCATCTGTTAAATATTAACAATTGAAAAACTATGTGCTAAGACTGGTTAATTTGTTTAGTGGAAGTTGAAATTTAGCTTAATTCATAAATTTTGCAAATTCATATGTAAATACAATAGTATGCATATACACAAAATATTTTTAACAGTTTAAAAAAACAAACAAAAAAAAACATCTACTTTAACATTTTTATTAAAATAAATTTGACCACAGATTCTCCTTTTTAAAGAAGAATAACTTTTAATGTCTAAATTGAGTCCTGATGTCCTGTAGAAACTAAAATAAAATGATTACAATATTTGTCATGTATCTTATGTTTCAAACATAACATAATTTATGCTTTTTGATATTCTTGCTCGGCGCAACAGAGTTTGCAGACTTTAACATTGTTCTTACAATCTGACATGGTAAAACTAAAACTGTTGCTCAAAACGTGAACACAGCCTTGTCTGGGCCTGCAAAAATTGTCTTTAAGAACATCGTTTAAAATTGAAAGCTGATCTGAGTCAATCAGAAATGAGTTAGCACACTTGTCTTATGGAGAGTATAGTGATGTTGAATTTAGTGGTTAGTCAGGAAATGTGTTGAGAAAAACTAATCATGCTGCAGCATGCCCAACTGTGATGAGTCACAGCTCATTTCATTCAACATTACAGAAAAATGAGCCTCGGTAGGGTAAAATATTTTAGTCAGCTTTCAGTCACTAACCACATTCTCTTTTTGTCCTCTTTCTTTTATTTTAGGAATAAGCATTTTGCATATGTTGCCATACTTGTCCGAGTCTGAAGGAATGGATTCGGTGCGGCTTAAAGTACCTGCATCAATATTCATTTATTCCCCATACATTCTTATGGGTTGGTTACTTCTTCTTGTATTAGGTAAAATAATGTAATTTGCCTTAAAAATCTGCATTTCATTGTATTTGAAACAAAATATCAGACTAATCAAACCTTTTTGCTATATCAAGATTTTTCTAGTTACTTTTAACAAACTGTAACCACAAATGTAGTTTATCACATTAACTATGAACATGTTCCACTAATCTTTAACTAGAAAATGTCAAAATACTAAGACAACCAAATATGGTGGTATTTTTGTTATGTAATGCAGTGACATTCATACATTCTAGTGTGGCTTCAGTATCTAAATACTTTTATGGCCACTTTTTTTTGTACATTTGCTCATTATTTAACAACTGCATGCATAAAGTCATTTAAATTTTCATGAAGTCATGAGTGGTTCAGCTGATTGTCTTCATCTCACTGTTTTGAAGGATCCAGTTTAACAGTACTACTCTTGCTGAAGGAAAGGAAGGAGGATCTTGAGAGCTGGAATAAGAAACTGAAGAAAGACTAACCAGAGAAATTATCAGTACAGGTTCTCCTTTTCACCAGTGCCAAACATTTTAACCTTAGGAGTATTAATTGGAGGCGGAGTGGCTTGTTGAACTCCGCCCTGTGTCGAAACACAATTATGTTTGTTTGTTCAGTGTTACAATTGTAAGTATTTACAGTTTTTTTGAATTGCTAATACACATTTCTTAAAACCATCACTCTTTTTCTCAAAACCTTAAACACATATCCAAACCTTCAAACTAAATTCACAGAACCCCTGACTCTTCTGGCAAAATCAAACAATCGCTTCAAAACCATTTCACCTGTACTCAAAATCAAACAAAGCTTTCAAATCATACACACATTAGTCAATAATATACACACTACAGATCATTCATTAGACACTACATCAAAAAATGGAGAACACTGTCCAGTGCATGTAGTTACAAAGAAACCCTGTTTATTTTATTTAGTATATATTTTGCAATAAAACACACACACACACAACAAAAGAAATACCTAAGTTTGGTGAATATATTTCTGTCATGACAACTCTCGGAGCGATTGGCATGGTAATGTACATGACAATGTTAATGTATTTGGTCTTGGCGGAATAGATCTGCTACGCTGCTGCTGCTGCGGCAGAGCGAGTACCGAGACTTGCTACTGCCAATACATCCACAACATGCTGCTGTGAGCATGTAAGAAATATTGCTGCTGCAAATATAACACATGAAATAACCTATAGCGTACATGAATCACCTCGTAGCAGATCTATACAGGTGGAGCTGGGGAAGGTGGAGGGTTTCTGAAGCAAACTAGTGTTGGGTTGTTCTTGAACGATTCGTTCATTTTGAACGAATTTTTAATGTGACTCGGGAAGAATGAGTCGTCTCAGGGAGTGATTCGTTCAGTCACGCATGCGCAACATCCTATAGGTTCTTTACTGGAATTAGTCAAGTAGTTCACCTGTTTCGAGTCTTCGGGTTTTCCGAGTCGTTACGCAAACGTTGATCACACTACAAACAATACAAAACTATAATGCTATAAGAAACAGAAAAGATTGCCGCGACTAAAAAAAGGTTGGGAAACACTGTCTTAGAGAATATACCAAAAAAAGAAAATGTTACTCTCAAAAAGGAAAAAAACACATGCATATATATGTTAAAAAAAGAATCAGAGGACTTCATCTACGTTGCAGGCAGGCAATGGCGAAAAAAACCCTCTGGTGTGGTGGATCCAGCCTTGACAAGACAGCACGTTTATGTCACCACAGGCCAGTTCCACTCTAATATGGTAGTCTTGCAAATCTACACAAGATTCTCTTCCACTTTTCTTTTGAACTTTCCAACTGAGTATGGTGGCCAGCACAGAGAATCTGCTCAAATTAGGTTGAACTCTTTTGTCCTGCCTCTGTCATCGCATGCACAAGAACATGGTCTATCACAGTAGCTCTGATTTCATCTGAAATGACTGTTCTTGCTCTTCCTCGACCTCCTCTTCCTCCACCTCGTATACGCACTCTTCCGTACCTCTCAGATTGTTGGACACACCCATGCCATCTGTGCACTTTGAACTATATTTTGTACATTTACATATTTAGAAACAAGTGTGAACAGTTTTGAATTATTGTGTGTAAACGATGACAACTGTGTTGCAGTTGTGCTTGACTTTTGCTTTCTTGTGTTTAGGGTTTTGCATCACAAGTTTGTCACCGTGCAAGCTGCGTTGTAATGAGTGAGAATGTGTTTAGAGTTTTGCAAAAAGAGTGCATGAGATCTGCAAACAGTATCTAAAATGCCTGAACTTGTTTAAAGTTTTGCTGAAAGAGTGATTTATTTGACATTGGTTTAGGGTATTGAGAATTTGGTACAGAGAATGGGGTTTAGTGTCTTAGCAAATGTGAAAAACTGTAAACATGTTATCGTTTACAGCACAAATAGATTTTAACTGAAAAAAAAGCATATGCATCAAAAATTCAAGCTTCACATTTCTGCTTTTTTTAACCATCAAAATCATTTTCAAGTACTACTTCTGATCAAATGTGAATATCTAACTACCACCTAGTCAACAATCTTCTGTGATTTTCTTTTTCATTGTGTTTAAGCACAGGCTACACAACTTCGAAAAACATACACATGCCATATTTTGATTAATAATATTCCTGTAAGTATTCATTTGCATAATTTATTTTACAAATATTTGCAGTAATTTACAGTGTATATATATATATATATATATATAAAAAAAAAAAGTAGCCAGCTTTAAAACATCTGTCTATCTTAAAGTGAACTACGTAGATTGGATACATTATTGATAGGCTACCACACTCAGCATTATGTTTATCAACATTAACAGTGTTTCTGGACTTTAGGCATTCTTAGGTATGCCTGCAAGAAAACCAAGGTCAAATAGAATAATATCTTGCCTTTGTTAATTTATATTTAAAATAGTTTTTTTTTTTTTGCTCAGATTATTGCTAAAACCAGCACACAGCTTAAAAACATTGTTCAACACAATCTATAAAATAATGAAATTATTATTGTCATTAATACGTTTTTAAATAAAATTCACTCCAAGAATGCAATTATATGGTGTCAGAACTTCTAGATGCTCTCCAATGCTGCCACCAATTAAATGATTCCAAAAGAAGATAAATCAGATATAACACGGTATAATAGTATATATTAAAAAGTAATTTTTTTCTTTCACAAATAAGTTTAGAAATTTACTAATTGAAAATATCAGTTATAAGACTGTTGCTAAAAAGGATATATTACGCGTGAAAATATTGGTTAGGGTGAACATAATTTTTTCGGACTGGTTCTCATAAGATCACCTGGAGATTTGGTTTGGTGCTCACACTGCACATAGAGTGACCCATTAAATAGATCATATAAATAAATCATAATAGTAATAGTATTATTGCACTTTATTTAGTTTTTAAAAATATAAACAAAATAATAAAGTGTGATAATACCATTATATTTTAAAATAAAAAGTGAGTATTAAATAAAAAAATAATTATTTTATAGTACACTTTAAAAATTAATTGCTAATATTTACATTACATTTTTTTAAATATGAATTTTTAACATTTTCAAACATAAAATCAGCAAGTTTTTATTTTGACGGGTTGCCAATAAGTAAGTGTATGCGTTGTCTGTTTTAGCCGAGTGAAATACGTCACCAAGTGAAATACGTCACTGAATGAAATGTCAGTTTTGCATTTTGCGCTGAAACTGGTAGCGCAAAGCCTATATTTATGCTGTCAGTTCGAATGGAAATCTTATACAGTATTACAGTTAATCTAAAAAAGTGATTGTTCATTAACAGCTGTCAACCATGTCAGTACGCAAATGACAACTTATTTACCCAGAAGATTTTTTTTATGAACATACTTGCATATTGGCATGCATTTTACATGAATGTCATAAGCTACATTACTTTCTGTTTGGCTAAAGTTGGCTATAGTTTTAAGAAAACAGAAAGTCACAGAGTTTGATTTCATTATGTTCAGCCATTAAAAGCAAAGCAATGAAAGTTTCTGAAAAGGACACTTTAAGGAACTCCTCCTATAGTGTCACATCTGCCGACCTCCTAAAATGAATCAAGTCAATCTTCGTATTTCTCCTTGACACAGAGAAAGTTGAGTCTCTGGTCACAGTCTGTGGGTTTACAAACCCCCTTTGTTCTATCATAAACCCCACAGCGCTGGTTCATGGCAGGGCACTGGAGCTCTCCATTTGAAGACCAGACATTATATCCAAGACCGGCTCCATTTACCCAAAACCAACGACCAGCTAGAAAGCGCAGGCCAGTCCACACTTCATCTGTATCGGCTACTGTGCTGTTAATCTTTGCTTCTTCCATAATATCTTCCGAGTTTATTATGGCCAGGTCAATGTAGTTTTGTCTGCAGTATTCCAAGGCCTCTTCCCATGTGCTTTTTTGATGCACCACAATCAGCTCATAGACCTTCATACAATAAAATTTTAGATGGTCAGTGCAGGTTTTGTCATTCAGTTGAAATGTGTATTTAGAGACAGCACCACATTTTTGATAATAATTATTAGGTTGTCCATCCTCCCAAAATGTAATTGTTGCTTCTCCACCTTCTGACCATATCCATTTGTCATTGTCTGCACTGTCTCTCTGAACACCAATCCAAAAATGGTTCTCTTTAATTAGAGAATTGTAAGATAAATCCTTTAAATCTTTACTTCTGACAGTGGACAGGTCGTCAAAGTGCTTTCTGCAGCGCTGCTGTGCATCTTGCCATGATAAAGTCTCGTTCACGAAAATGTGATATCTGTAGACGCTGACATTCAGCTCAAAGAGGATCAAAAAAAGCAGCACAGTGACTGAAGCCTTCATGTCGACCTGGATGATCTCCACTGCAGCAGAATTCTGAATAAATGTGGTCTTCCCCATTTATTTCAGGATATTGCTGACTTGTTACCACACCTTTTCACAAATTTCTGGTGCGAGCAGACCAATGAAAACCAGGACCGCTCTAACATTGAGAGTGACCTTGACATGTTAGGACCTTCAGTCATTACAGAAACAAACAAATGTATTTTCCTAAAATGCCTAATTAAGGCAAATCAGAAGACTCAAAGAAAGGACATACCTACAAACTCATTTAAAGCAGTTAAGAAATACGTCTTTGGAAATGTCTGGAAGAAACAAAAAATGAAAAAGACTGATTTTTTTTACTTTTAAAATCTAGATAATATCACCTATTTTGTTATTCACTAGAATCAATAAAATCATTAAAATATGTGGAAAGTATTTAGTTTGTATTAAGTAAATGAGCATATCTTGTTTTTTCTGCTTACTATTAGAATAACAGTAGACACACAAATCTGAAAACAAGCATTTTCACTTCAATTCAAATTGATTTTTACAGTACTTTTCACAAAAAATACTGTTCAAAGCAGTTTACAGATAATTTTATCTTATAGCCCACAGTGAATAAGAAAAATAATCAATAAGGTTCAAAAATAAAATAATTGTTAAAATAAAAATAGTAATAAATCTTACACAAAACCCCAATAAAATCACTTGGTAGTTTAGAGATAACCAATGCTGACAAATGCTGGGAATTTGCTTCAGTGTAATACAGGCATGGTTGCCTTTCTCTCACATATGGTGATTCACCTTATATACGGAGTGAGGAAACATTCACATTAGTTGCAAGGATATGTGAG